TGTACAGAAGAAAAGTTAGAGTTAGTCAAAGTCAAAGGGTTGGGAAAGGATGTGGGAGAGTACATGCATACTTACAGCCGGGCGGGTGCGGCGCCGCAGGGTCGGGTCGGGGACCTCGTCGCCTGCGGGGGCGGCGTCCGCGGGGGCGGCGGCGGGCGCGGCGGCGGGCGCGGCGGCGGCACCGGCGGCCCCAAGGCCGCGGGGGGCGGGGGCTGGACGGCGGCGGGGCGCAGGGGTGGGCTGGCGCGGCCGCGCCTCTGGCCTCACCACGACGACCTACAACAAAAAGACCAGGTTAGAAGTCACATCAAACGATAGGAAAGCACGAGGACGAAGTAGTACTCACCGGGGGCTCCGCCGCCTCCCGTACGGCCTCGGTGGCCCGCTTGGCGTGCTGCTTGGCGGCGCGGCGTGCAGACGCCTCAGCACGTCGTACCGCCTCCCGCATGGCCGCGGGCGTGACGGCGAGCTTCGCTTCGGGGGCGGCATCCTCGGCAGCGCGCGCGGGGCGGTCGTCCGCGGCCTGGCGGAGGCCGGCACCGAACCATTGCCGACCCCCTTGCACCCCCAGGCGGCTGTGTACAGGCTGTAACGAAAAGAGTTAGACAATGCCAAGTACATCATGCTGGAGGAGATGTTGAGAGACTTACGCCGCGTTGCGGGGGGGCGATGTTTCGGCGGCCTCGCCAGGAGCCGCGGCCTCGTCCTCGCGCCGCCTGCACCTCCTCGTCGTCCTCGCGGTCCTCGCCGAGCCGCTCCCCCAGACGCTCGTGTACAGGCTGAACAGATGAACACATAGAGGTTAAGGCGACATCCAACTTGCAACGGCACTGAGCAAAAACGAGGATACTTACGATGCGGGGCGTGGGTGGCACGACCGCCACCCTGCCGGCGAAGGCGTGGCCGGCAGCCCTGGCCAGCTGCTCCTCGGCCTCAGTGGGGCGTGCTGAGGGTCCTGCGGCCCAGTCTTGGGGCGGGGTGGGCACGGCGGTGGCCTCCGGGGGGCGCGCCCCCATCAATCGAATATTGACACGCTGGAAAGATAGAATTTCGTCAGCATGCGTCGAGGTTAGAAAGGGGGCGGCAAAGTCTCGCGTGATTCAAGTAAGCGCGGCGAACTCATTCGCAGGTTAACACGGCGAGCTAAATCACTGATTAGAAAAGCGAGGCGAACTCAAAGTTTGAAAATCACACCGAAACGCACTTGTGAATCAACGAGTTTAAGAATGAATGGCGGGGCACCCGCGGTAGCAACAGGTTAGGAGTCCGACACCTCTCTGGTCTCACGCGATTTCACTCACACGAATTCCACACACTATTGTACTCACCACTTGTTCTTCATCGGTTGAGCTAAACGAGCTAACATCCAAGCTCAAACATTCTTCATCAGAGGACGACGACATTGTACACACAATCAAAGACTTTACTAAAAAAGTTACTTTCAGTAGCACCTTCCGCCAGGGCTAAATCTCTACTGACGATCTGTCCCTTGGCCCGGACCTACTCAACCGACCCGCCCCCGCCTCGACCAATCAGAGCGCAGCACAATTTCAAATCGGCGACGGCACTGACAGGTGTCAATATTCACGTTTATTTCGCGTTTTAACCCTTTGGTGACGTCGCGCGATACGGCGGAAGGCGTGTCCATCTTTATTCTTCCTTGTTTCAACTCGCACCGCTTTATTTGATGCCTTAAATCACTTTTGTTCAGCTTTAACGAGGCCCGGGGTCGGCGCCGCCATTCAAACGGCGAGCACTCATTGGCTGAGCGGCGCGGCATCGTCGGAGACGTTTTTCGCGGACTGTGTGATGTGTTGAAGAGAAATTAGAGTTGGACATGTATTTTAAACGTGTTCAAACCTGTCTGTGACTTCCAACCTCTGTATAAACTGTGTTTTCAATGTATGGCGTTTTGGGTTGGAGGCTTTGGCGGGAACCCGGCCGGTGGTCCAGCAGCTGGCCCGCGCATGCGCACAACACTTTGGCATTCCCTCTTGTAGTTCGACAACCCGCCACCAGAGCGAGCATTTGAATTTGGGCGCGGTGGATCCACCCCGCGACTAGGAGGTACCAGAGGATGACCGACAAGCACTCACGCCCCTCGGTGACCCCGCCGGTGACAATAAGGTGCCATGGGATATGACGCAACCCCCCACCCCCTGCCCTCAACTTTAAGGTACCAGAGGACCTGCACTTACGCCCCTCCGAGGTTATGCCCCTCGGGGGGCGTGGGTCAGGCTATCGCACGGGCGCATCCGATATCCCCGAACGGAATAACGTATACCCCCTCACTCCACCCATCCCCCCGCCTCGAGGGGGACCCCCCACCCATGCCCGCGACTAGGAGGTACCAGACATTTGGCCGCGACTAGGAGGTACCCTTACTACTGATCATTATGATTCGCTATGGAAACCGATAGACTATAGAGTGTAAAAAAAAAAGACGCGTGTGCGCTACTCACGACTCGTGTAGCTTGCTGCAGTTGCTTCTTGCACATTTACTTACATGTGTGTTTTTGTGTCTGATTGCATGTGCCTGTGAGAGGAGAGGAGACCTGAATGTCAGTCGCTGTCGCTGCTGCTGCTCACCTGCTCTGCTTGCTGGCTCTTCCCTGTGCACAGCTGCCTTTGCAAGAATTAAAGAAAACAACTCACTTAAGCTTTCTCTGCGCTCAAGCTCCTGAAATAAAAGCTTGCATATGTGAATGTACCTGATTTCATAATTGTGTCCTTGTTTCATTTTTACCTTTTCATTTGCTGCGCTTCAAACTGGTGGAGATACGGAGCAAAGGTAAGGCATCGGCAGCGTTGGAGAACGTCTTATTTCTGACAGCAGAACATCGCAAATCTACGGAAAACAGCTCTTGTAAAATTCTGAAATGATCGGTAGTGAGCATATGTACCAATTCTTTTTCTATCGAAGTGCAATTTGAGAGAATGGCGGGGGGCGGGGGGCAGCCCCGCAAGGAGGAGCCGTCGAGGTGAAAGCGCAGCCTGCAACCGTGTAGCTGAGTGAACGACCTAAGGTCACACAAGGCGAGCGGGCCGGTGCACATTCGCTGCGTGACAGAGGTGGAAGGGCGGCCTCTGCCTCACCACATCGAGGAAATGCTCAGAGAGGGGGAATGACCGAAGAACTACTGCGTACAGGAGAGGGGCGCTGCGCTAGCCGTACGGGGCACCGTCGCGTCGCCTTCCGTGAGCGGGTGGGGAAGGGACGGGCCTGTGAGCAGCAGATCTTTGGCCATAAGGTCGGTTTCGTATGCTGGAACTGGACTCTTTCGAACGCATAATCAGTAAAACGGGCTGAAATCAGAAACTGTTGGTCACAAAAGTGCCTCTAAACTTTGAGAAAAAAGCCTTTAAATAACCGAATAACGCTATAGTCGTTGCAAAACTGAGCTAGCAGCGGCGACTTGCTTAGCTCGCACATCAATGGCAACACCTCGGATACACGATAGTTGACTCCAGAGCAGCCTTCCAGAACTAGCGTTTCGCTACGGGCGCGCACGTGACCCGGCTGCACGCCTCGGAGGTAGGCCACCAATCTTGCAGGAAAGGATCTTCGACATCGACCCAATACCAGTCCATCGCCTCATCACACAATTCATCTTTTCAAATAGTGCCTGTTCCTGTTGTGCACATCAATCGTCGAGTCGGTGGAGTTAGAAGAACGAAGCTCTCGAAAATAATGTAAAAGTGTTAATTTTGTGAAAGCGCGCTTGCCCACGAGGGGCGATGGCCACCGGTGGTCTTTGCCGTATCGCAGCGAGTAAACGCTGCCTAAGAGAGAGGAGAGAGGGGGGTCACCAAGGAACTCGAAGGAACTACGCCAAGAACAAGGAGAGCGCTCTCAGTTAAAGGGGCGGCGCTGTGTCGTTACCTTCCAGGAAGGAGAGGTGTGGGGTGATAGCTTCAGCAGAGTTGTGACGGAAAGATGACTCCAGCAAACCCAGAATCAGTGAAATGGATTGAAATCAGGAATTGTCTGTTACAAAAGTGCCTGTAAGTCTCGCTCTAAGCTTTTCAGAAAATTGCCTCTACAACCGAACAACGCTTAAATTCGCTCAAAAACGACCTGGGGGTAGATCGGGACGACCATTTAAGCTAAAGGTCTCAAATTCATGGGTCACCCTCGGCTCGCCTTGCTCGGTCCGCGGTAAGGCGAGAGCTGCGTTCGGCTGGATCTGAGTCTCCCGAGATCCAGCCGGCGATCGTTCGTTGTATCTATTACAAAGCTGCCTTTCGAACCTCAAAGACGGACAGACAAACCAGCCGATGCTCCGAGCCAAGCTAGCCGGCGGTGGCAGCAAGGACAGACGGACGCCGTATCACTATCTTGTCGGCGGTGCCGCTGCTGGTCGCCTATGCCACCAACAGTTGCTTGAGTTTGAGACCCTTGTGCTAAGGTAGCGAATTATGAGAGCTCGGCGCCTGCGAGACTCTGGGTGGGCCACCCCGCGGTACACGTATGCGTTGCTGGCAAGATGTTGCCTACCCATCAGGCGCCTCAAGAGCCTGCATAGGCTTAGTTTGGTAGTTTATTAACTGCGAATGACGGGCGTACTTTCTGAATGATCCCTAAAGTTAACCAATCGCAACACCCGGGGTACACACAGTAGTGCGATTCCAGAGCATCTCTCCAGTGACCGGTCTTCGCTTTGGACACCACCCCCTGAGTTGGCGGGTCGCCTGTGAGGATGGCCGATGGCGGCCGCACTTCACATCACGCCAACGTATTGTACAGTGAGCTACAGAATACGAGTAACAGTCTGCACTCACAACTTGCAGTGAGGGTAAATACCCGAGCTGGATAAGGGCAAGCACCCGGAAGGTGGGCCACCCATTCTACCCCACCCAAATGACAGCTTATAGCAGATCAAAGTTGCGTCACTCTAAAGAGGAGTACGGGTAATAAAGAAAGAAAATAGGCAGATTTAAATTTGAATTTGCGTTTATTTAATGAGAAATACTGCAAAAGATATGAAACTGGTCAAAGCTGGATAAATGGAAAATAGGTTTTCTTCTATTTATGTTGAAAATAAAATTACAGAGTAGTAGGTAACAATCCATGATTGTAAAGACATAAGTTTAAATTAACATGTAAATCTTCTTTCTTGAAAATGGGAAGCTCCTGTGTTGGGGAGAGCAGACGTTGAAACCTGTAAATAAAATGGAAAAGAAAAAGTTAGCAAATTGTATGTATTCTCAAAACTATTTCTATCAATATAAAACAGAAGGGGGTGATGTTGTACCTTATAAAACAGCGTTGAGATGCAGCCATTTGCAGCGTGGAAGTGAATGGTCCCAGTGGAGCATCAACAATCCGCAACACACCACAGGAAGAGCAATTCTCCAAACTGACCGTCCTGCAAGCTGAATAAAGCGTAACTCATTAGTAACAAAATTGATTTTACATAAATTACTTTAATAAACACCTCCTATAGTTGTGGATAGTTTGAGAGAGCACAGTAGACACCAAAGTGCAATGAAAACCTTTGACAAGTTTTTTCTTACAGAATATTGGAGTTGACTGGCTTATTTAACAGAGGTTTGCCTAACAGGAGTGTAAAACAAGGAACTTTTGGGAAAGATCAAGGGAAAAGGGAGGGGGGAGGGGGCAGTACAGAGATCATGTCACACACACACAAATTAAACAAACTAAACCACAAAAAATCCACAAGACAGAGAGACAAAAATACCACTTCAAAATTCAAAGTGACAACAGAGCAAGTCATTCAATAAAACAATGCAATAAAAATGTCAGATTCACTTAGTAAGCAGCATAAGGACATACCAGAACACAAAAGGCACAAGAACACTCATAAACACAAGAGAAATTCACACATATAAAAGTACAGGCACAAACTGCAGCAAAACCATGAACAATCAAACACTTTAAGAAACAAGGTAGCAGAACAGTGCAGGGCGAGGGCAGAACACAGCACACGAGAAACATATACAAGTATTATAGCACGTACAAATTGCAGCAGAACCATGAGCAATCAAACACTTTAAGAAACAAGGTAGCAGAACAGCACAGGGGGAGGGCAAAATTATGAACAGAACATGAAAAAGACACAGTCAAAAAAACATCCTCAAACATTGACATTATAAGCGGCACTTCAATTTCAATAGACAGAAAAGGAATGGCAGAGAGGGAATTCACTTGAAATCAGAGTTTAAGGCAGAGAAAGGGCAGGGAGGTGGCTGTGGTAAGATGCGTGTTTCTTTTAACATTTATGGGGGAAAATTGGTGCCAGTTCATATGACAGCATGTTTAAATAATTTTAAGCCCCATTAAGATTGAAGTTATTTAAATAAAATTGAAGGAAACTTGACAACACTTGGACTCATGTGTGCAAACTCCAACTATCCGTTTCTTTGGTTGAAGTTGATACTATAGGTGGTGGTAGAGGAATGTCTATAACTTGACAATGAGTAGAAAGAAAATAGAAGGGTACTTAGCTTTGGCACACCACGCTCACAACAGCCCTGACGAGCCAAGAGACATATTTAAGACTAGACATAGCAAGGACATCATATAGCCTTAGTCTTTATAGTGTCCATTCTATGTCTAAAAGTCATGTCCATTTGTTTCAAATTTTGGACTGTGCCATA